TCAAAATATGAAATTCTCTTTTCTATTTTCAATATAGGAAATTTATTCAAATTTGGCAAAAGAAACGTGTTTTTATTTATTGATTTATTTTATTTACTTATTAAATTTATTGGCATTTCTCTTGCATTCATATTGAAACCAAAATTAAAATTGAACCACACAATTATAAAAACATCCATTTTAAGAAAAAGACAACAAAAGTCTTATTAACCTCAAGTTGTTTGCAAGTAGAATTTTTACGGTACAAAATATTTAAATTACAAAATATTTTATTGTAAAAGCAAAAACAACACATTAATTAAATATCTTGAAACCGAAAGCAGTTAATTAGTGACAAATATTTTAATCAAAATTTTTATTTTTTATTTTTCTTGGTAATTTTTGAAGCTTATTTAAAAAAAAAAACAACAAAAAATGAAAAAAGACACTCAACATTCAACATCCTTTAGAAGTTAAATAATTTCCTGGTTTCAAGTGATGGTCAGCCATTATTGTTTTAATACAAATTTCAGAAACACATTTGAAATTTATATCGACTTTATAGTTGGAAAATCAAATTGTGATTGTTTGAAAAAAATTGCTTTATTTACTTGTATTTTGTTTTGCATTTTTTTTTTTATCGAAAACACTCCAAGAAAGGCAGTAAAGCCACTAAGACAAAAGCGGTTACTGGGTGAGCAGGAACAATAGAAATGTAATCAGGCAGACAGTAGATAACAGTTGACATTAAATTTTGAAGATCAAACTTGATTGGAAAACAAGAAGCCAAAAGAGAGTTTCACAGGTGAGAAGTGCAAGAACAAAAACTGTTAGCATAGAACTTACGGTTACATCTGGCCAATTTAACTGTAATATGATAAAATCTTTTTACGGATCTAATATTGCTCTTAAATTAATAAAGTCTAGGTACCAAAGTGAAGAGTTCATCAGAACAATTACCATGGAAATGTTTATAGAAATGGTACAAAGAAGCTACATTACAGGGGTGGGAAAGTGACTGAAGTTAAGATGCTAGGTCAGGCCTAGCAATATTGATGATTTATAAGTGGATTTTTTTTTTTTTTTTTTGTTATCGAAATCATTCCAAGCAAGGCAGTAAAGCCACTAAGACACAAGTGGAAACTATGGGAGCAAGAACAATAGGGACGTAATCAGGAAGACAGCAGATAACAACTCACATTGCCTTTTAAATTTTTGAAGATCAAACTTGACTGGAAAACAAGAAACCGAAAGAGAGTTCTTCTGAAGATTAAACTCCATTTTCATGTCAATAGATGACCATTCCAATTTGCACATCTGTGGCTAAATTCTTTCTGAATTTCTAGGATAAGGACTTACCATTTTTTAGATTTTTCCCATTTGGACTAATGTCCTCATCTTTGTTGTAATTATCACAATGTTTCAGCTGTTATGACTTCTGAACCCAACCTTCTTCAGGTATCTGTCAAACTGGGTAATCTTTGGGATATTTCAAACTGAAACCTAACCTACAAGGTAGATTATTCTTGCTCCAATGTCCACGTTTAGGGATATTCCTGTTATGGCTCATCTCATTTCCACCAATTACAAATCCTTCCTTTCATGGGGGGGTCCACTGCTCTTTCTACATATCCTCATAGAAATATCATCATATAAACATTTTCTACATATCCTCATAAACTGTGCAACTTATCTCTTACTCTGTAAACCTCTACCTCGACTGGCTCTTGGGCCTTGTACAGGGAAAACATGATAAATTGATCTCCCATAATTACTAGATATAATAATTGGAAAAATATATTTAAAAACTCATTTCTTTTAATTTTTTTTTTTACAGTAAGGTTTGCTTTGTACAAGGTAGAGGGTTATGAGGTTGTTTATATGGATAGGAAGGGAAGATAATGGTTAACTCTTGACTTGAACTGGTTAAGATTTTAGTAATCAGAGAAACATTCTTTTCGGAACTTGTATTATTTATATTATTCGAACTGATATCCTCATCTTCATTGTCATATTCACAACGCTTCGGCTGTTGTACACTCTGGCCTTCTTCAGGTGATTGGAATTTCAAACTGAATCCTCAATTTACAATGGTTGAAACGTTGTGAATATGACAATGAAGATGAGGATAACAGTCCGAATAATGTAAATTATGCAAGTAATCATAATACCTCATCTCAGAGATATAGACATATATCCTCTTGGGAATTGGTACCACAGAGCAGTTTGAGTGGAACTTATTTCTTACTAATGGAACATGGAGGGAATATGGGTGGTTTGAGACTATGGAAGTGGCATGGTGGGTCCTAGCTGTCAAGGTTAGATGTAGGGGAACCAAGGAATGTAGTTCGTCTGAGCACTTTCCATGGAAGTAACACGAGAGCAGTGAGAAGTTCACCACATTCTGCCTGTGAGAGAGAGAGAGAGAGGTTGGATGGTGGAAAATAATTCTTCTCCAACAAGTACTTGGAGACACTTTTGAACTCTATCAGTACTGGAAAGTGAGTACTTTAAAATCGAGAAAGTGAGAATTAATATCTATATATTACCATATATACACAAGGATAGGTCGCACTTTTTTCCACTAAAATTTTGATATCCACTCGACATCATAGGGAGGCACAGTAGAGTAACGAATTGCGGCTCAGATTGAGGAATCGGAGAGCCAAGTTCGAAATCGAGTCGAATTCATTACATTCACTTTTGTGCTAATACCCTTGGGAAATGTATGAATCATCTTCTTCTCCACCCAGCTATGGGTAAATAGCAGGACAGACAGGTTCTGTAGCCTTGGATGGCAACTGGTTTACTGCAGAAAGAAATGGCAACCTACTGCTGGACAAAAATCTGCCTCGTTGGTTATGTATTGAAAGATACATGATCGCCTAAGCATGTATCACGTATGGTATATAACCGACTGACTGACCGGTTACCAACCAAGGCGATAGGGACTAGTCTGTACTACTATTTAACCCCTACATGGGAGAAGAGATGGATTCATACTTTTCCCAAATGTATCTGCATGTAAAAAAATGTAATGAGCCTAACTGGAATTTGAACTTGGCTCTCCGATTTCTTATTTGAAGTCACGAGACATTACACCACTGCACATCCAATTATATTAACATTATGATCACTTTACTACTTAATAACCATAGAAAAATGATCCACCAACTTGATGCCCCATATCAGTTTCTTCCTGCCAGGCTTATGGCCATATCACTTTGAAACATCGGTTCCTGTTTGTTTGATTTTGTTTAGCGGCTTATCAACACTTCTATGGGGTATTTAATGCCAAAATCTAATTATTTTAAACACAGTTTTATGGCTTCAACTAAATACATTTTGAATGCAATTGTATGCCTTCATCTATAGATAAAATATATTGTAGGTCATTCTTCCTTAAAAATGTTTTGTTGGTAATATTTTTTTATATAAAAATGTATTGCTGGTATTTTTAATATAAAAATATATTTTTATACTTTCATAGAATTTGGATGTTCACTATTTACCCATAGTTGGGACCCTAACAGGTACTACCACCCTGAGTCAAGGTGGACCTGGGAAAAAACAGCAATTAAAACATGGTTCCATGCTCCTCAGAGACTCCAATCTCCTTGCTGCCAGATGTAGTTTATTGTAATCCCCAGGACTACTAATTCCTGCATGATCACCAAAGTTAAGCAATGTCAAGTTTGGTCAGCATCTAGATGGGTGACTGCTAAGGAATACCAATTGCTATGAGATTGGATGTGCCAGGGGTGTAATGAATAATAATTTGGAATTTTTAATCAGAGCTGTGTTCCAATTCAAGTTAAGTTCGTTATATTTACTTACATACCTTTGGGAAGGTATTAACTGGCCTCTTCTCCTCCAGCTATGTGTTAATTAGTAAAATTTGTATGACTATACCATTATTAACTCAAAAACATTCTGACAATGTAAAAATATTTTCTGGCTTTAAATAACCTGCAAAGGGTTGATAAGCCATAAAAAAACGAATAAATCAATCAAAAAGGCAGCATATTAAATCCTTAATTTTAATAGATTTTCACATGTAAGTCTTTAGATATATTTCATTCAGGTATTGCTGCATGGATATTAACTCTGTAGACTTCCCTCTGGAGTATAGCTTCACCACACTAGTGCCACAGCCTCACTACACTCAGTATTGTTGCTGGTTTCCATTGCCAAAAATTGTTTTATTGAGCGGAGTTGCTAGCCCCATGCCCAATCAATTTTGAATTCAGAATTTTCCTTCTCCTAGACTGGTACCCAAGCAAAGCTAGAGAGTACAGTCTACCCTGCTATTTAACTCATAGCTGGCAGGAGAAGAGATGGATTCATACATTTTCTTTTGTGCAGAAGGGAACGCAATAACTTCAGCTGGAATTTGAACGACATGCCAATCCCACTATTCGACCTTGTTAACCGCTACACGTTTGCAATTATTATATTAAAACGTAATAATTCCAGGGGCAGTGGACATCAGTATATTACTTATCAACAGGAAACCTATCCCTCTCTTTGTGTTCAAGAGAGCCATTTGTTAAATCATATATTTTAGAAGCATCAAGGGCGGTCTTCAGTGATGCACTGTTCTCATTTGGGTTTCACATCATATCGGCTCCAACAGCAACCCCGACCTGATTCTAGATGAGTCAGGCCACCTACTTGAAAGCATTGTGCTACGCACTGCAGGATTGCAAAAAACAGTTATCATAAGAACCAGCAAGGCCGGACTTTGACCGTTCTTATTGATATATGTCAGTGTCAGCCAATGAAAATGGCTTTTCATGCTCCTTTACTTTATAGTGTTGTTTTTTCACTTCATCTGGTTTAGATTTACTACTTGCGGAATCCATAACGAGGTGAGCTGGTGTCTTTATTGCATTAAGCCCATGTTTTACACATTAAATACTAATCCCATAGCAATACTAAATCTATAACTAACCCTACACGCGTACCCAACCCAAATCTATCCTATACTAGCATTTTCTAAAAATTATTACACAATTTTTTAAAACACCGGTTCCAGTACAATTACTGAAGTTAAGCAACATCAAGCATGGTCAGTATCTAGATGGGTGACCACTTGGGAATGCCAGGTGCTGTAAACGTAGATGTGGAGGTGGGGTGTAATGGATGATTGCTTTTAATTTTTAATCTGAAAACTGAGTTCCAATTCAAGTTGGGTTCATTATATTCACTTACAAATAACCCTGGGAAAGGTAAGAATCTACCTCTTTGGCCCCCAAGCTATGGACTAATTAGTAAGATTTGTATCACTAAATCATCAATATATCCAAAAAAAATTAAACGTCAAACAATGTAAAAATATTTTCTGGCTTTAAATAACCATCAAAGGGTTGATAACCCATAAAAAGTGAATCAGTCAATCAAAGCTTCTGCTTTGGACTTCTTTAAAGAATTATTTAATTAAAGATCTTTAAAACTTTTCACAACACACCTACTTTCTTCTTGAGGCACATCAGTGTGCTATGGAACTGTTTCTTCTTCTTCTATGTGACATGTGCCTTCATAATATTGCAATCATGGCTCTCCACAATTTCCTGTCCTTTGAAGCTCTTAATAAGTCTTGTCTTTTTTAAATCTCTCCCAAACTCTGTGTTGCTATCCATTTACTCAAGCTTGCCAGGTATGTTGTGCACTGCTTTCTTCCATCTCTTATAGCTTCATTTTGTCTTGTCAGTATCAAATTTTCCACACCCTCCTTCCTCATTATTTCAAATTATGTTAAGTATAAATGTGCTTTATGCTTCCATTGTTTCTAGAATTTTGTTGTTACATGTTTAGTCCGTGATATACTCAGCATACTTCTGTAGAACCACATTTCTGTTGCTTCAATTCTCATCTCCATCTGTGAAGAGATTATCCAGTATTCACCGCCATATAAGAGGACTGATATTACGTAATAGCACAGTACTCTTTTCTTTGTTTCTGTTGCTTCAAATCGCTTCTTCATCTGTGAGGAGATTGTCCAGCATTCACTGTCATATAGGAGGACTGATATTACGTAATAGCTCAGTACTCTTTTCTTTGTTTCTGTTGCTTCAAATCTCTTCTTCATCTGTGAGGAGATTGTCCAGCATTCACTGTCATATAGGAGGACTGATATTGTGCACAGCTCAGTACTCTTTTTCTTTTGTTTCTGTTGCTTCAAATCTCTTCTTCATCTGTGAGGAGATTGTCCAGCATTCACTGTCATATAGGAGGACTGATATTACGTAACAGTTCAGTACTCTTTTCTTTGTTTCTGTTGCTTCAAATCTCTTCTTCATCTGTGAGGAGATTGTCCAGCATTCACTGTCATATAGGAGGACTGATATTACGTAACAGTTCAGTACTCTTTTCTTTGTTTCTGTTGCTTCAAATCTCTTCTTCATCTGTGAGGAGATTGTCCAGCATTCACTGTCATATAGGAGGACTGATATTACGTAACAGTTCAGTACTCTTTTTCTTTGTTTCTGTTGTTTCAAATCTCTTCTTCATCTGTGAGGAGATTGTCCAGCATTCACTGTCATATAGGAGGACTGATATTACGTAACAGCTCAGTACTCTTTTCTTTGTTTCTGTTGCTTCAAATCTCTTCTTCATCTGTGAGGAGATTGTCCAGTATTCACTGCCATATAGGAGGACTGATATTACGTAACAGTTCAGTCCTCTTTTCTTTGTTTCTGTTGCTTCAAGTCTCTTCTTCATCTGTGAGGAGATTGTCCAGCATTCACTGTCATATAGAAGGACTGATATTACGTAACAGTTCAGTACTCTTTTCTTTGTTTCTGTTGCTTCAAATCTCTTCTTCATCTGTGAGGAGATTGTCCAGCATTCACTGTCATATAGAAGGACTGATATTACGTAACAGTTCAGTACTCTTTTCTTTGTAGCTGTTACTTCAAGTCTTTTCTTTCAAACTCTTTCATTTCAGTTTTACATGTTGCACTTTTCTTCCTCTGTTAATATGTTTCCCAGATATTTTAATCATATCACCTGTTTCATTTTGGCATCTCTAATTCATAATCTGCATGTTCGACTGTTCTTTTTTGCCAACAGCCATGCATTCGCTCTTCTGGCATTTCTTTACTACTTTTTGTCGGATATCTTGTAATTTTTTTTCTGTGTCTGCTATCAGCACCGATGGAAATCAGCGTACTAGATTAATGGTGATTTTATAAGTACAAGTGTAGTAGTACATATGGTTACCTGATACTAATGTACGTCGTCGGTATTCTTATGTTCTAGTGGGCCAAATATTTTGCTAGATAAAATAGACCAGCAGGGAAATTGTTTGGCTGTATTCCTGATGTTTTTAATTTTATTGAAAGGAAGTACCCCAAGCCCATTGTTGGTTGAGGGGGGGGATGCCAGTTGTCCCCTCCCCCACTCTGCGTTCATTGAAACAAAGAACTTCGTGATAAAACCAGCCTGAACTTTCACTAAGTGACCATGAGAATGGAAGCGGATGAATATGAACTCTTGCTGCCATAAGTAAGTAAGCTTTTATGCCATATCGACAATGCTGGATAACCAAATTTTTTAATTTTTTTTTTTTAGAATAGGACACTTGGACTTATACTAAGTTAAAACTTATTGTAGTGAAAGAGTAACATGGTGTTGCCTCTCTCTCTTTTTTACAAATACTTTCATGGTAACTGCTCTGAGGAGCTGCTTTAGCTGGTTCCCAGACTTCATGAATTCAAGCGCCCTACGAGGATGGCATCCCGCTCTCACCCTTTCACTGTCGAAACTCCTAAATGTAGCCGTCTCTTCTACTCCAATAGCTTCATGTCTCGCACCTCTCATCTGTGGAACTCCCTCCCCTTTTCCTGTTTCCCTGATAGATATAATCTCCAACTATTCAAATGTAATGTCAATCGACATCTCCAGTTGCCTTGATCTATCCACTATCCTTCGCCTCATCCTTTCCTCTATCATTCCTATCTGCTCTCACTCCAAATCCTCTGTAACCCCTTGCATGCTAGTGGCTTCCCGCCTTGCTTGGGGTGAAATGCTTAAAAAAAATATATATATATATATATATATATATATATACAAAAGAGAATCTCTTTGTTCACTCAGTAAAACTATAGAAAATGATTGCTTTTCTTTAGCAGTAACAAATTTTGGCTAACATTGTAATTAATTTTGACTTGCTAGAATTTGCATATTAAAAATAGTTTTATTGATATTCTAAAACAAATTCAATAAAATGATGTGTGTATGTGGCTATATGTGATTAAGCCAGACATGTTGGATTAGCTTTGAACTCTGAGAATTTAAATCTTGGAGAAACATTACCAATTCCATCCATCTCAAGCTTTGTCGGAAGCATGAAAAAAATAGCTTTTTTTTTTTCATTATTTTGTGTTTTTTTTGCTTTGTTTTAATCTTGTGTGCCATTTGACATCAGCCGTAGCTATGCACTTAATGAGACGAGACGAGGCCAGATGTGCAAGCTGGTGTAATGGATGGGGGGCAGGATTTAGAAACAGAAGAGCCGAGTTCAAATTCCAGTCAGGTTCATTACATTCACTTACATGCAAATACCTTTGGGAAATGTATGAATCCATCTCTTCCTCCCCAGCTATGGGTTAAATAGTAGGACTTGTATCTCAAGAAATCATTGTTATTCTGTAGAGAGAGCAACACAATTGCAGAAGGATTTAAAAGCATTTTATAACGTATGGCACAAAGCTTTATATTTTTTTAAGTTTCTTTTACTAATGTTCATCCAGTACAATGTCCAAGAGCCACTCAAGGTAGGGGGTTGTTACAGTATGGAGTTATATTAGTGTAGAAAAGGACAAGTGTTAGGAGTATAAAGCTGAAGTAGACCATAGAAGAAACTGGAAACTCAATCCTAAACAGGAAACAAGGGATAAACCTCTAATCCTGTTCAAAAGACCAGGGAGTTGTGTGAACCGGGCAATAAGCGAACGTACCCACATCGTTTTCTGAGAAGAAGAGAAAAGGAAAGAAAAAATGGAAATAAATAATTAGTAAAGAAAACTTCTGAGTTCAGGCGGAGACGTTAGAAGTATAGAGTTGAAGTAGACTTTAGAAGGGACCGGGAACCCAATCCTTAAGAGGAAACAAGGGATAAACCTCTACTCCTGTTCAAAAGACCAAGGAGGAGTGTGAACTGGGCAATAAGCGAACCTACCCACATCGTTTTATGAGAAGAAGAGAAAAGAAAAGAAAAAAAGGAAATAAATGATTAGTAAAGAAAATTCCTGATTTCAGGCAGATACTTTGGAAGTATAGAGTTGAAGTAGATTTTAGAAGTAACCAGAAACCCAATCTTAAATAGGAAACCTCTACACCTGTTCAAAAGACTGGGGAGGTGTGTGAACCAGACAATAAACAAACCTATCTACTCCTATTCTGGAAAAAATAAATATATAGTAAAAAATTTACTAGTTTAGGTATAAACATTAGAAATATAGAGTTGAAGAAGAATTTTGAAAAAAAACCGGAAAACCAATCCTAAACAGAAACCAAGGGATAAACCTCTACTCCTGTTCAAAAGATGATGGAAGAGTGTGAACATCTTTTTGGGAAGGATGTTGGGATAATCCAGTACATAATACCTGCATAAAAATAGAAAGGGCTAGAGGACAAAGGCAAAGGCTGGAGTTATTCAATCTTTACAGTAATGCTATCGTAAAAGAGCTGAAGATGCTATCAGGATTTATTAAGTTGCCCAGAAAGTCATCACTCACTTAGGAAGCTGAAAGAAAAGAAAATTTTATGGAGCAACACCAATATTTATTCTTTAAAATAAAGTCCTTCATTTTTGACAATCTTTTGCCAGCAATTAGCCAGCATCCAGATCTGTTACAGGTACCAGACCTCTGGCTTTGAATCAAAAAACTAAACAAGTTTCCTTCACTTCATCAAAAGTTTTGAATCACTGGTCATGGAGGAAGTGTGCTATTGAGCAAAATAATCCATAGTTACTCAGAGCTGTATCGAGACTGAATGGTGGATATAGAAGAATCTTAACACCGTCTATCTGTTTGAACTTTTCCTTAGCAAACCTGGTAATGTGTGGCCTAGCATTTTCTTACTGAAGCAAAGCTTTCTGCTTCCTAAG